CTACTGTTTTGTTTCATTTCTGATCAACACTTTTCATTATTCATAATTTTCTTGTTTTGATTATTGTCCCTAATGCATAGTGCTCCAAACCTGAGGAGATTAATAGGCAGCATTCTCCCAACTCTTCCTCCTCTCCTCCGGAGCTGACACAAATTGGTGAAATATCACTTTGATCATGCCTCCTGAACAACAAACAAAACACAAACCTAATTAGCCTAATTCAAAATCGTTCCAAATGCCTCTGTTTTTTTATGAAAGCCTCCCTTCCCTCTGCCGACAAAACTAAGTTAGTTGGACAGGCATCTCTGCCAAATGTGTGTTTGTGTGCAACTTTGTGGGTAACTGAACATATCGGCCCCCCCCAAATGTGTCTTTTGACCTCTGACAGAAGGCAAGGAGAGCCAGTTGCTGTGACGCATCCATCCTTCTTCCTTAGCACCACTCATGCCAGAATGCTAAACAAAGAAAACATACTTTAGACAGACTATAAGGTTGTAGCAGTTTTTTTTGGTGGTTTAGGAGAGCTTGCTCTGCTGACTCCTGTGTGATGTTAGTCATCCCATCTAGGTTGAAAGGTCAAGTAGCAGGAGAATAATAAAGCTCTGATATGTTGCACCACCCAAAAATATAAAAAAAACGGATGTAAAATCTGCTGATATATTGACTTTAAACTGGATAAATGATCGGTTTTACATTTTGTACATCATATGGCATTGAACTGAGGTGTTGATAATCACACCAACAGGCTTCTGTATAAACTCATGAATATGCTAACTTCCGTATGAAACAAAGTACACACTGCTCGTTGTTCTGCCACTAATTCACTGTAAAAGTTGATGCAACGTGTCAGCGTCTTTCTGCCAAAGGGGACTTTTCCAAGGGCAGCAACGCGCCACAGCCGTACGGCATTTGAAGTGTTCACTTAACAGCAAGCAGCATGAAGTCTACCTTGCAATGCTAGCAGATTAGCTCGTGTTGCCTCGCTAACATATGCAATGACTGCCGGCGAGCTCTTCCCCATTAGGTTTGCACATCAAAGGCGGAGGGAGAAGTTCTTCACAGGCAGTTAAAAGTGGGCTCAGTGTGGATCTTGTAAATACCGTCTTTGAGTCTGTGCCTCTCAGGGGACACTTCACACACTCCTCAAGTCAGGAGAAGGAAGGGAGGGAGGGAGAGGAGCAGTGACAGGCATCAGAGAGGGCGGAGGGGATGGAGGTATTGGGGGTTGGTGGGGGGGGTTGTTTCTGAGAGCCCAGTCCCCTGTCACCATCCGGATAGGATCTGTGGATGAAGAAAATCACTCTCCTCTACTCTCCTATCCCCGTCTGTATCTTTCTCTCATCCTCTTCCTCCTCTTCACACTTCACATGATAGCTGACAGTAAAAGTGGAGCATTGCTGTTTTCCGTTTTTCTTTTGAGTCATGTTTTTCATAACACATAAATAGAGCATGCGGCATCCTGGGAATTCTGTGATTCTGTGTTTCAGTATACAGGCGGACACAATAGCATCCACTCTTCACAAGTGTTGTTGAAAACATTTTATCCATCATAGCCATTTGTAGGGCTCTGGTGAGGCCCTCGACTCTGCAAGGAGCAGAAAGGAATAAGAGATGTGTTTTGTTAGCAGACACACAAACACACGCAGACACGCACATACCGTATGCTCCCAGGCCCGTCGTTGCCTGGTTTTGCAGACTGATCAATGCAAATGCTGTTATTTATCCAAGCCTGAAATGAAAAGACTATGGATCAATTTGATGCACTTCCATAGGGTGTGCTCACAATGGCTGGCTAGCTTTTTGTCTCAGCTGCACTTCTCTTCTTCTCCTCCCTAGCCATCCACCCCTCATCTTAAACAAGAACCCCCCCCCCCTCCCCTTAAACATTACTAATGCAAAATACACTACCATGCTCCCTCTCACGTACACAAACCATCATCCAGGCATTCTCTTTATGCACGCTCCTTCTCTCTTTTTCTTTCAAACACACCCACAGTGTGACACCGGGGCTGCATCCGTCTGAGCTGTGTGTATCTCTGTGTGCGTGTGTGTGTTTGTGTGTGTTTTGGGCTGACCCACTTTCTGTGCTTGGCCAGGCTTGTGCTGCTGCTGCTGTCTGCTGTGCTGTGCTGTGCTGCTAGGGGGAGATCCCTGCAGACTCGCTCGGAACAGACTCCAGCTCTCTTCCTGACAGACACTCACCGTGGCATGTTATCCCCCCGCGGATTGGAGACCTCTGCCTCTCTGCCTCTGTGTGTATGCATGTCTGTGTGCGTGTGTTTCAGATCCACCTTGATGCAGATGCACAAATGAATACGCACAATAAAGCATGCACATGGATGAACATGTATTAACAGCATTCTTACCAGTGCACACAGACACACTCACACACATATGCAAAGCACATACCATCCCAGATCTGTATATTTTTAATTCCATCCACCCTCCTCCGGCTCCTCCTCCTCTCTTCGCTGTGTTTGTCTGGAGTTATTGTTTCAATCTTGCTGCATCAGGGGGCCCCTGAAGGTTATAAATTAAACATAAATGCAAATGCGCTGAGCCATTGCCCTCCTCCACCTCCCTCCTCCTGCACACACACACACACACACACACACACACACACACACACACATCCTTGCCATTCAAACAGATCAGTGTGTCTGCGAATTAATAGGAGAACAGTGGGTTTTTTTTAATGAGCGAGAGAGGGAAATTAGAGTTGCAAAGCCACAGCGCACACACCCAGAGCTGCAGCCGAGGCAACGGCTTGAAAAGCCGGGCGCCATCATAGAATATGCTAATGCTCCAGGTCCCCTCACTGTCAGCCTTAGTGTTGCTCTAGATGAGATCAGAGCCGAGTCTTTGATCTGGGACACTGATGGGAGGCAAAATCGTCATGTGCACAAAGTACAGAGAGCAGAATGGGTTGGACCAGACTTGTTCTAATCAGAAAAGGTGGACACTACCAGTGATGAATCTCTTACATGAAGAAATTCTGTCCATTTAGCTTCATCGATTGAGACAACAGCTTCCATTCTATCAATATGTATGGTGATAGACTGAATGCAGTGTGTCCTATAGATAAATAGCCATCTGCTCCTGTTGATGCTATAGGCTGGGCCTGAGACTACTTAACAGTGCACACCATAGAGACTTTGTTGTGAGACCATAAGAATGGTACAGCTTTATTTCCGCCATATGGGCTCATAAAGCCAAACATTCAGGAAGGGTTTCTAGGGATGTCACTCGCTTTTATTTGTCTTCAAACACCTAGCTTCTGTTTGAAAGGTGGGATAAGCCTCTAGCTTTCATGGAATAACATTCATTTGTGTCATTTTTCAATCTTCAAGGAGACATTCCACAGTGTGCATCACATGTATACATTTTCAGAAACGGCCTTCCTACTCAGATCTGTTCTTCCTAACTGTTTCTGCTTGTAATTCTTTGTACATTTATTTATAGTTTAAAGCTCTTACTTGTACTTACACTGCATCTCCAGCAGGGGTCTTACCATTGTCATGTACATGGCTTCATAGCAAGTCCACTTTACATGAAGTGTAATGCAGAGTGAATTATGATCTCTTTTTCCACAAATAAATGACCTTAAGCATTCTTTAGGTGTTAGAATAATACAGTCAGCATTATACTCTTGTCTTTATTACTACACTAGCTTCTTTCTTATCCTAATCACATTTTTCCCACCGCCACCAGTCATTATTATTATCATGGCCATCTTCAGCACAACTCTCATCCCCAAAATCCATCTCTTTCCACTCTCTCCCCCCCAGTTCCCCCTCTCCCCTCCGCCCCTCTTTCATCCGCAGCTCCCTCTGTTGATCAAATGCATCTGATCTCATCAAAGCAGACCCTCTGCTTATTCAAGTCCCAACAGACACCCCAGCTTCTTTACTAAGCACTATTTTACATTCATGTTTGAATACCACTGATAGGATAGCATATCTTGTCGACTTTGGTTCTGTGTGGTCCTACACTGCAGCCAGTGGTAGATTTTTGTTTTTAACTTCCTCTTTTCTTTCATTATCATTACAGACAGGTTACTCTCTGATAAAGTAAATCCAAATGAAAGGAAATTAAAGAACGTAGACTTTTATTTAAATAAGACCCTAATGAAGGATGCCTTAAATAGTCATAGTAGTCGTATTACATTCCTATGGAGACTTATCTTAAGCATATAGTGACCTCATCCTACTTAATGGCGTTTTTTATCTGCTATCACATGTAATGGTCCTGTAGAATATGCTGTACTTTATGATGTGTGATATTTCAATGGTTTCCCTCTTATTAGTCGAGATGGTCTTTGTTAAAGGGGAACATTATTCCTTTTCAAACAGAATATAAGTGATAGGAGCGCGTGGCAGGGGGGTGGGGGTGAACTCTGTGGTACAGATATTACAACATCATCGCTGCTATAAAGTGTGATTACATTCTTATTCCGATGGCAACATTATTGCACACAGCTTGTGGTTGCGTGTCCGACTCCTGTCAGAGCTGCAGAGAACTGGCTTGAGCCGAGGGACGGAGAGGGTGGGAAGAGGGAAAATCAGACCTGGATAACTGTGGAAAAGTCCGCGTGGAAAACTTCACATTGGTTGGTGTTTTTGTAGTCTATTTGATGGATCCGTGTGGAGTGTAGGAGAAATGTTCGTGCGTAAAAAAAAAAGGAACGGTTATTGTTTGCTTTAAAACAATATAGCCTACATTTTGAAATCTTTAGTGGGGTAGTTTAAGGATCGTTGGAGATGCTGTTGTTAAAATAAATATGGTTCAGATGGCAGTTGGGGGATGAATGATGTGTAAAGATAACGTCACATCAGTGTAGCCTACATTTTTTTTTTTTTTAATGGGAAATGAACCTGCAAATCATCGTAAAACACAGTAAGATCGACACACAGCGTGCTTGATGGCTCGCTACTCCAGTCCGGATTTTCCATGTGAGGCACGCCGGAGCCCTGGAGGTGGATAAGCTGGTAGAGCCCGCTCTCTCTCATGCCATGCTGGGCCACAAGGGCTCCGGGAGACGCTGCTACATATTACCGAGAACCGGGATGGAGGAGAGGCGGAGGGGGGAAGGAAAAAAAAAAGTTTCTTTTAAACCTGACAGAGAAACTTTCAACATGAAGCCTCACTGACGCACCGTATCAGCACCACCACAGCAGCACCAGCGCCACAACACAGCTTGCTTTTTCCTCTGAATATATATATATTTTTTCCACCTCGCAGCTTGTGTTTTTCTTTCACTCTCGGGTCTTATTTTCTGCGCGCAAGGCTGGTCGGGCTTGCTGTCACTGCGCGCTGAGATGTTGGAGTGACCATGGCTGCGCAAGTTGCTTCGGCTCCGACCAGAACTAATAACAAAAATAAGAAATTATCCAGTGGTTTGGGTCCGGAGCTCAATTCGGGGAAATCCGGAGGAGGAGGGACCCTTCAGCGGACTGGACCGATGCTGGGTTCCGGAGATGGGACTCTGAATAATGTAGACCATCATCGCCGAAACGAGCTCAACATGGTTCATTCAACTTCCACGACTCTTAACGCTACGGACGGACACGAGAAGGATGGGAATAACCTCGCGTCCGCCCCGGCTTCGACTAATTCAAACACTTCGATGGAAGCGGGTTTGATCGCGAACCACAAGCTGAAATTTATGGGGAGCGGAGATCCCCCTCAGTCTCAACCGCCGCCTCAGCAGCAGCAGCCGCCGCCGCAATTCGGCCAATTTGCGCCACATCAGCAGCGACAGATCCAAAGTAACAACACCGCCAATAACAACGGCCAGGGGCCCCGTGGGGACAGGGGTATGGATCACCAACACCACGGTGGCAAAGAGAACCTGTTGGGGGGCCAGGGGGAGCCACAGCAGCAGCACATGCCAGGGAAAGGTGAGGGGGAGCTCACCTGTAAACCCGCGGAGAGGATGATGGGCAGCAGGTATGAACACTCCAACTTGGGGCCAATTAGTAACAACTCTGAGTTTAATAACAACTATTACACTCCAAGGCCCTGTTACGATCAACATGGCGGACAGCAACAACAAAGCAGTGGGATAGGGATAACGCACTCCTCGGCACATAACAGCATGGAGAACTCCCACGAAGCTGGGTACCACAACAGCCAGTACAATCAGTACCCAGCGTACCGCGCCGGCTACGGCGGTGGGGCCTACGGGATGATGGGCCCTACAGGGTGCAGGCAACCTGGAAACATGATGATGGGCAGCAACTCCTCGGCGAGTCACGGCAAGTCTCCCATAGGTGCTGCTCCGGGTGGCTTTCAGAGGTTCCCAGGACAGACTCAGCAGCAACAGCAGCTTCCTTCAGGGGCTACCCCGACCCTAAACCAGCTGCTTACGTCTCCAAGCCCTATGATGCGGGGGTATGGGGGTGCGTATCAAGACTACAGCGGCTCTACGGCTCAGCAGCAAGCTGGTATGGGCCTTGGGAAAGGCGTGGGCCCCCAGTATGGAGCAACATCGACCCACGGCTGGGGAGAGCAACAGAGGAACCATCCTCACTCAATGAGTCCAGGAAACGGAGGGCAAGGCCTCGGCAGGTCACAGGTGAGTTTATGGAAACTTCTATGCCAGGCGCTCTCGGGTGTGCGTCAGTGAACTTTGGTTACTCAAAGCTGATCCGTCACTCACGATTAGGCCATGTGTTGTGTGTTTGTGTCTTGACAACAAAAACAGACTGTGCGCCTCCGACACGGCCATGTAGTGTTGAATCTTGTGCATTCTACACAAAATGACATGGATTCATATTTTCATACAACACGCCTTTGAACTTGCGCAACTCCGATTTTTGTAAACTTGTTACATCGCTTATTTAAACCTACCGGCCTCAATATGAAAAGGAAGGGAGACATTCCGTATTTTTTAAAGGGCTTTATTATCCAGGCTACTAATGACTCAATTATAATTCATTTATTAAATCGGAGGGTGCATTTACATTTTTATATCCCAATATCCCAGTTGTGCAGCTCTTTTTATTTTTTTATTTTTTTAAAGTTATTTGTCTTTTGTTTAAACCAGTGGATTTAAAAGCTAAATTCAAGCTGGCCGTGTTCACCTCTCTGCCGACGTGGTGTCAGACACGTTGCGAAACGCCCTGTTCAGAGGACGTTCTGTGTTCGCTGCGCTCCTTAAGCAGAAAAAAATCTTCTAAGAATTAAAAAAAAAAAAAAAAAAGGGATTTTAAACCTTCTTTATTACGTTTATTATCTCTTTATGTGTAACTGATTTGAAAACTAACACCGACACCTCGGCCGTTTTAAAGCCTGTTTGTCCGTGTCGGCGCGCTCCGTGTGGAGACTGAACGCTTCTGTGCGCCTCGTTTATTCTCCTGCTGCTCACTCAGAGTTTGAATAGTGGAGGTAAACTGGCTGAAAGCCCTCCGTTCTCCCTGCTCACTGTTGACACCCAGTCTGCCATCTGATTGGCTCCCCGTGGCCCCTCTGGGTAGACTGAACAAAAAAAAAAAAAAAAGTCTTGAAGGGATGCAGTGATGCTGCATTCAGGGCTTATGGGGATACTCCACTCTTGGAGGACATCCAACTTGATAATTGAAGTTTTATGAAGGTTCAGAGAGCTTCTGATAATTATTCTAAGAATTTTCTAACACAGAATATAATTTCAAAACTGTACAGTGTAAGCTTTAAGTGACCAAAGGAAATAGATAATGTGTTTTTTATTTTATTTTATTTTAAGATTTGAATTATGGTCATATCAGTTTAAAATATACATTTTTTTACAAAAGTTTGCAAAAATGTCATACACAGTTTTTTTTATAATAGTGATGGTTATTTAATAAATCTCTTAAAACGAAGCCAACATTTAAAAAATATATATTTTAAGTTTTAAGTTTTACACAAAAACCCCTGCAGACTGACCTGTGCTGGACATTGCTCCTGCTGCGGTTTGAACGCTACACCTGAGGACAGCGCAGTGGACACAGTTAAGGGACAGAACAGAAGTGTTACTAATTGTTCAAGTCATTATTTTTCTCTGTTTTTGGGACCCCTACTCAACGATCTCTGTGTGTCCCTCGACCCTGAGCTGAAACACTGATGTGTCAAGAGAGTGTACACCTGCAGCCAGGGGAGAAAGTATCTGTCAGTTCAGAACATTTCCCCAAAACTTAAACAGTATTTCATCAGAAGAGATATTATTCTGTGCCTGTTTTTGCTGCTTTGAATTTTCTCGCACTGCTGGATGGCACATCTGGATGACTCTAGGGCAAGGTGGTTCAGCACATATACTGTGTGCCTCTCATGAAACAAAAGCACTTCATTAGCCTGCATTGTTTCAATCAAAGGCAATTTGCGTTGGATGCTGGGGAAATGGAGTGAACGTTTTAGCGTAGGAGGGTTTGCTGTGGCATTGATTGTATCAAAATTATTCACTGATAAAATGGTCACTAGAAACGTAAAGAAATGTCACTCTTTTCCGCAGTTATTTTAACTGATGATGTGCAGACTGAGTGATAAAATATACTGAATACAATTAACAGCATATCAGTCCCAACATACATTTACATGATCCAGATTATACAACTCATATTCAGCTTTGTAGTGCAGATGATTTAAATAACCAGCCATCACCAAATATAAAGCACAATTTTTTTTCCCAGTGTTTTAGACTTTTGGAGTAAGGGCATGTGCTGCCATGTTTTTTCTCGACTGTATCAACATTTCAGCAGCAGTATATTCACGCTACAAAAGTCCTATGTTTAATTCATATTGAAGCGGCAGCGCGGCTCTCCTGTGCACTGACAGGCTGTGTGAGAAAGGCGAGCGGTGTAGTGCATAATACTGCTTCCAAATTGGCCCCGTGATATGACTGCGCTTCACTTCAGAGTGTGTTTGGTCGGAGCACGCCTCTGTCACCTGTTGGCACAGTTTCTCCTCTTTCAAATTCAATTTCCCTCCCCACTGCCTCTCTTCAGGCGCGCACTGTGAGCGAAACGAGTGCACCTCATTTACACCGCTGTCTCCCCCCCTCACACTCACTTGTCTGGCCACTCACCAGAATGAAGACAGTGTATGTGTATGTGCGAGTGTGAGCGTGTGTGCGCTTTGGTGAGATTATTTAGCGGTGTGCATTAAGTCTGCCCTCTTGTTAAAATTGACATTGTCCGAGTTTTTTAAATTACTATGGCCTCTTTGACTGAGGAACATAGAAAAGATAATCAGCGTTCACTTTGTAACTGAATGTTTGTCTGCACATCTACTGCTTTAAATCCAGGCTGCTCTGGCTTAATGTGCAGAGTAGTGTTTCCTTGCTTATATACGCTGTGTACCCAAATCAGTTACAACATATGTGCTATCATAATGACTTATTTAGTCTTACAGAAATGAAGCAGCATTTTCTGTACATACACAAACTCTATGTGTAACCAAGATCTGCCTGTTATCCACTAACCAGAACACATACAACAGAGAACAATAAAAGTAATTAGTATAGATAATAATGAGGGCCTAGAAAGTTGGAAACTGCTCAGATAATTACAGCAGCAACTCATTTAAAATCTGACCTAATAAAACAAGAATGAATGGATTTTTACTGTTTCAACTAATTTATCAGCATTATGCTCAGTGTTTGCCTTTGTTTTTTTGTTTTTGTATTCTTTACAAATGAAATCAAGGCTCAGTAGTTCTACATATCAAAGACCAGACCAAGTCCCATCCTTGGTAATGTGCTTACCTTGAAACGATTCCTGCTCGCAGTGCTCTCCAGTGCATACTGTTTACATTTCTCTCTTATGAATTATTAGTGTGATACGAACAAAGACTTTATAATAGGAGTAATGCATCAATGTCACATTGTATTATGCGGCTATCTCAGGGAGCCTTGTGCATAGTGATGGGCTTGACTGTGGCTGCTGGAATTTAATTTATGGTTCATGTTCTGCATCGGACGGACAGCCCATGGGGTCTGGTCAGGAAATGGGCACCCAGGTGTGTATGTGTGTGGGTGCTTATTTTTTATTCTAGGGTGTGTGTCTTTATGTTCTATGTCCTTGAGTGTGCATCTCATCTCTTGCTGTTTCCCTGTTTAGCCCTTTCGTCAGCAGTAAGCAGTCCAACCTCAAACCCCCCCAATCCCTCTGCCAATGTTTCCCTCTACCTCCATTTCTCACCCTCACCCGTCACACGTTTGTTTATGTTGTTTTGTTTACATCTCTGTCTTGGCCGGGCAGCGCAGCACTGATTAGCAACACCAGAGTGAAATTTTAATTTGCTCTGTTGCATCCGATAAGGGCCCCGCGCAGCATTTTTCATCTTCTTGGATGAGACACAGAGCCTTCTTAGGTAATTGGCAGGCCGGGGTTATCCCTGGTCTACATGCGGTTTCAACAAAACGCCAATTAATTCTGATTTTTAAAAAGAATGCCAATAAAAGATAATAAAAATAGTCCATTTGCATCACTGGACATAAGCCCATGTATTATTAGCTATGTATAAAAATAATTGTAGTTTTTCTCACTGGCCTCACAACAGCCCCTGGAGTCAAAGGTTGATGTGTAAATGCCCTGAAGAAAGGATTTAATTACTGCAAGCGGGGTTGCTTTGGTGTCAGCTGTTTTTTCCGGCTCTGTCTTATCCGAACAGCCGGTGTCAGGAGGGAGCAGAGAAATCAAAACCAAAGCATTTTTTGGGGAAGAAAGTTAATCGTGCTTTTGGGAGAATTTAGTTTTTCCATGTGGACCCAGAAGTCTGAGGCTTTCGGATTTGATTTGATAGTCATGTTAGAATTCAATTGCAACCTTATTTAGTCTGTCTCAGCAGTTGTGTACTGAATTCATGATGACCATGTTTGAAATCTAATGCGGTTCTCTGGCATTCTGGGATTTGTAGGATTTATCACAGGTGTGATATGGGAGTAAATAAAACTATACATAGGCTATGGAAACAGAACCTTTGTGTCTGTGTGTCAGGTAGCAATTGACTTTATAGTGATAATTCTTTTCAAAGTTAAGAAAACTGACACACCTGTGTTCTGTAAGCTGTCCTTTTATCAGCTGAGGGAAGATCAAAACCAGGCATGTTTAATTTGTTACTACTACCACCAAGAGCTATGCAGCCTGGAGTGCCGATAGCCTAGCAGATAGCCTAGCGTCCCATGTGCGGAGGCTTTGGTACTCGTCTCAGTGGCTGTGGGTTTGGGTCTGACCTCGGTCCCCTTTGCTGCATGTCGTCTCGCTCTCTCTTCTTCCGGCATTTCCTGTCTCTGAATAAAGGAGCTACTCAAAAAAAGTAGTAGTGGGGGAATAAGTACTCATCCAAAAAAAAAAGTTCATATCAGAGATAATAAATACAAACAAATCTTACAGTACCATAACATAAGGTCGTATACTCATTGTGTTGATTGAGCTGTTTCAGAATTATGACTGGATTATGATAAATGAAGCAAAACTGTGTTCACTTGTTGCAGCGTCTAAATGTAGATCTGATACTAACTATACTGCTGGTACTTCTATTTAACATATTAGTTGTGCTTTGTGTGAAAATCTGGTTCTTGCTAGTAACAAAAGCTGCCATTTAATGCACTGAAAAGTGTAA